CTGTCAAGCTTGTAACCTTACTGGGAATTAATTGAGAAGGTCAACCCTGCAAGGTTGGGTTGCAGAATGAGTTGCAAAATGAGTTTCTACTACAATTAACCTGGAAAGTGGACTCTTAAGGTCTAAAGTACTGGAATTAGATTAAAGCAGTTGAAGCATAGAACACCTATATCAAAGGATACTTATTAAAGAGTGCAGAAATATTTCAGAAGAACATAGCAGAGAGGAATAAAGCAAATAAGCTACATTTTAAGGTTCTAGCTACACAGTAAGACATTACTTTAAAGTTGCCAGGTATTACCCTTCTTGGTTGAAGTTAATCAGTAGTAATCCAAGCCTCTCTGTCCAGAGAACATTGGGCCAGGCAGGAGCCTGGTCCATCCTGAGGTTAGCTTGTCATCCCTCATGTTAGCTGTATGCTGCCACAACTACCAGCTCCAACAAAGAACAATAAAACTACCTGTTTTAAGGCCTAAGATTTGAAAGGGCAGGAGGCCCTTCTGTCCAATCAAAAATCAGACCAGTGAAGTCATTTTGACATGAACTTACAATGAATGGCTCAGGGGAGAGCCACTTTATGATGGGATGGAGAGGTTATCTGAAATCTAACCCACCCCTTGTGTAGTGTAAAACACAACCCCAACTGAGGATGTGCTGGCGCCAAGTCCTGGTAAACAAATGGTTTGTCTTTATATCTGAATTGCTATTCAAAGGTGATAAGGTCAATTGCCAACTCTTCCATATCAACACAGAATATGGAGAAACGGAATGGTTTCCAATTGGCAAAGTTTTCAGACAAGAATCTATTTTATCTCCCAGTCTCTTTAACCTATATGCAGGACATAGCGTAAGGAAAACTGCATTAGATTTAGATGAAGGTGGAGGGAAAATTGGTGGAAGGAACATTTAATCATTTGAGCTATGCAGATGATACCACATTACTGGCAGAAAATAGCTGAAACTCAGGTTGCCATGTCCCTCCTGGCAACCAGCAGGGGATAGGGGGACTTACTGGAAGCAGGAGGGAGGCCCAGCTGATGTTGCAGCAACATGCCTACATCACTTCCAATGTGACCCATAAGTGACATCATCACACAGCAATATCGGGATGATGCTCTGGTATATGGGCAAAACTCCATAGTAAATTTGGCTTCTATCATAGAGTTTTAGCCCAAATACCAGAGTGTCACCCCAACATTGCCAAAATGGTGACATCACTTCCAGTCATGTAAAAAGTGACAGACATGTCACTGCAATGCCAACTGGGACCTGCTGTTTACCTGGGTAAGTCCTCCCCACCAGCCAGCTGATTGGTGAGGGCCAGTAGAGCCTGTCGGTGAGGGACCCCTTGCGTCTACTGGGGAGGTTGGCAACCCTAACCTGAAATGACTGCTGATGATGGTTAAAGCAGAATGTGCTATAGCACAAAACAGCTGAATCAAGAAGACAACATTAATTTACTACTGGGGAATCACACAATGTCAAGTCTGATGATGAAGATATTGAATTTGTTTAAAGATTTTCTATCCCTTGACTCCATCCTCAACCAAATGAAACACTGCAACCAAGAAATCAGGAGATTGAGACTGGGGAGGGCAGTCATGGAGGAGCTGCAAACAACATCCTCAAGTATAAGGACATGTTGCTGGTGACCAAGATCAAGATAATTCATACCACAATATTCCCCACTACTATGTATGGGTGTTAAAGTTGGACAATGAAGAAACCTGAAAGGAAGAAAGTTGATTCATTTGAAATGTAGTGTTGGAGGAGTTTTATGGATACCGTGGATGCCCAAAAAGACAAATAATTCCCTATAAGCTAAAATGACTTTGGTCATGAGAAGATAAGACTCACTGGAAAAGACAATAATTCTATGAAAAGTTGAAGGCAGTAGGAAAAGAGGAAGACTCAACATGAGATGGATTGATTTAAAAAAGGAAGCCACAACCTTCAGTTAGTAAGACCTAAGCAAAAATGTTAACGATAGGACATTTTGGAGATCATTAATTCATAGGGTTGTCATAAGTGAGAATCAAGTTTGATGACACTTAATACACTATAGGGAATAACTCCTCCTTTACACTTGTTTGAATTGGCTGAATTTTTCAACACACTACTCTTGATAGCATATGCAGCATATTTCTGTTGTTCAAGTCTGCACAGTCAGGCTGCTTCCAAGATTTTTGTTCATAACAGAACCAATGAGGCCCTGAACCCGTGCTATTAAACATACCAGCCCACTGAAGTCAGCATCCCTGTGTTATGTGAAACATAGAACTCTGCCCTCCATGGATTGATAAATAACATCCAATTTTTTTTGTCTATCTTGTCCAGCATCCTGTTTCAAACAGTGGTGCCAGACTGCCTATGAGCATGAAGACCCAAACCTTCCCTGTTTTCCCCTCACCCTGGAACTGCTATTTCAAACGGTCATTGCCTCTGAACAGAAATTTCATTTTGTTACCAATGAACTTAATGAATTGTCTAACTCTCTTTTAAAGCTTAACAACCTTCCAAAAACAACTTTCTATTTCTAATTGCTTTTAGTGTCTCAAAATTCAGCTACTATCCTAATCAGAGGAGTTAGTGGCCTCACCAAAAGCAATATTAAGTATGCAAACATTAGCAAGGCATTCACTTAGTATAAGAAAGTATATTACTTTAGTGTACAGATCATAGCAATAACAGCATGGGCAGAATTTTGGTTCTTTTCACACTTTATTCCCTAACAGCCTTTGTTTCCTTACTGTTGTAGAAAGATCCCTTAAAAAGAAAAACCTCTCCCCCAGTGCCACAGGGGGCGGGGTAGTTACTGATTTGTCCACTGCTATTCATTACTCCTATTTACTGATTTTTAAAACCTCACCAGATGAATTAATGTGTGCAAGCAAACTCTATCTGCAATGTTTGTTGAAGGAAACAGGTCATGTAATTTTGATCTCCCCAATCCTGGTACTAGGTGAGTACAGTCACCTGCCATTTCTGATGACTCAGAGTAGAAGGTGCCATGTATGAATATTGCTCTTAGACCTGGTCTTGCTCACCTAATTCTTAGGTGATGAATTGAACTCCTACGGGTCCACTATTTAGAGATTACAGCTGGTCAAGAGTACTTATAAAGATAGCCTCTGAGTTCTGACTGGCTGGCCCCGCCCCTGCCAAAAGCCTAACAATTATTTTCAGACTACTTCCTTTTAGCATCACCTGTACTGGTCACCAATCTGCAGGTTCACATGCCTGATTTTTAAAAAGTTGTTTTAAGACTGCAAAGTTATGCCCACTGGAATGTGTGTATTTGTACATGAAGTTGTTGAAACTGGTCCACATAGCCTAGTACAATTTACTCTGACAGAAGTCCCCTTATCAGAACAGAGATCTTGATTTAAATGGAAATTTCAGAATTTGAACCTAGAGCCTTCTGCATCACTGATTTGTGGCTCCTTCCCATTTGCTTGGGGCTACGTCCAATTGAACTCAGAGAGACTTACTTATGAAGAAGTATGCAAAGGAGTGTGCCATGTGTCCACACTGTTGGCAGTTGTTGTTGTTCAATCCATGCTTTGGAGTTTGCTTTCATTGAATTTACTGCAACAGGATTTTGCAGAAAGGTAATAACTGACTACAGGGCATTCAGAGAGGCCTTCAGAGCACAAGCACTAACACATACTAACACACAGCAGAGAATGAAAACAACAAGAAGTAGGCTGAACTACAAGAGAAAACATTCAATAACCCCTAAATGCTAAAGAATACTCCACATCTCCTCCTAGGGAACAAGTGGACTAAGCTACTCTTTCAGCGATATTTACAATGTTAGACTCTTAGCAGGCTGTCACTTTTCCCAACACATACCCCTGCATTCTCATTGTGTCTCTGGTTACAGGCTTTGGAGAAAACACACATATGATTGGGCTTTACCAGGCACATTTTTATCCCATGTTTCCTCCAAAGTCGTCAGAGCACCATTCATTGTTGTACCTTCTTCAGTTTATCTTCACAATGATAATGTGAGACTGGTTTAGTTAAAGATGGGTAGCTGTGTTAGTCTGCCTGTAGCAGCAGAAAAGAGTAAAAGTCCAGTAGCATCTTAAAGACTAACAAAATTTGTGGTAGGGTATGTGCTTTTGTGAGTTACTGCTCACTTCAGGTACCTGAAGAAATGAGCAGTGACTCATGAAAGCACATACCCTGCCACAAACTGTGTTAGTTTTAAGGTGCTACTGGACCCTTATTCTTTTCTACTAATTTAGTTAAGAGAACATGAGTGGCCCAAGGTCACCTAGGAAGTTTCACAAAGTGAGGATTATTTTGAACCCAACTCTCCTAGATCCCAGTCCCAACTCTCTAACCACTACATGTTGTCCTTCTTTGCCTCGGTCAGGCCTTTGTAAATAAACAGGAATTGTGCGGTTTCCCACTTCATGTCTGGAAATTTATGCAGGAACAAGAATGTATGTGAAGGACCAGAAGTCTCCTGACTATTTTTACTACAGGATATTAACACACGATTACCATTGTGGCATGACGACACGTTGCAGACGCCTACAAATAACACAACCCCCTGCGTTTGAGTCCAGTGAAAGATTTATTCAAGATATGACTCTTTACGCGCAAGCACACTTTCCCACACGGAAGCTCATACCTTGAATAAAACTTTGTGGTCTTACTGAGGCCACTGGACTCAAACGTTGCCCTGTAATGCTTCAGACCGACACGGCTACAGCCCCGCAGCCGGTAACTGGAGCCCTCGAAACCCAGCATTTTTATGAAGCCTCACATCAAAACTTCCGGTCTCGTGGCCCGCCCCCTTTAGGACCGCCCTCTCCCTCACGTGGCGCTGGTGTTTGTGCGCGGCCAGCCTCCGTGGGGGCGACGGGGCGTGGCACGTGCAGAGGAAGGGCGTAACAGGCAGCATGGCGATGAGTGACGGCGCTTGAGGCGGGGCTTGGGCGGAGAAGGGAGGAGCGACATCGGGGGCGGGGAAAGAGGGACCCAGAGTGAGTCCCTCAGCTGAGTCGGGCGGCGGAGAGGGGACGCCGGAGTCGCGCAACAAGAGCCAGGCGGAGGCCGGCTGTTCTCTCCCCCTGTCTAGCGGCGCTTTCTCGCTACATTGTCCGCCCCGCAGGTAACGGCTCCTTCCGGGGTGGGGGGTGGTGCGGCGTCTGACTGAAGCGGCTGCGGGCCCTTGCGAGGCTGGCTCACCCGTCGCCCACCCCTCGCTGCCTGCGAATGAGCGTCCCCGGCCCCGCCGCTGTGTCTGCCCGCGGAGTCTTTGTGCGCTCCGCTCCCTGCCCACGGACACACCCGTCGCCACCCGTCCCCCTGCAACTCCTCGACTTCCCCAGCCCGGCCCCGTCCTCACAATGGCACACAGAATGGCTTAATAACGCTCGCCGTGCCGCCCCCTCCCTCGACATCATCCTACGGCCGCCACCCCCCCTCCAACCTTCCTTCTCTGCCTTCGCTTCATCATCATAATAACAGCAGTCGCATTTGGCGTGGTCGCCGCCCCCCCCCCTCCCCGGCATTGCAAACAAAAACAACAGGAGTCACCGCGCGGCTTGTCCAGCCTGGTCTCCCTGTGGCAACACGGTGGGAAGGACAGCGGAGAGCCGGTCCGCGGTACTCTCCTGGGACCAGCAACAGCTCCTCTCTCCCCCCCCCGCC